CTTCTTTAGGACAGTCCATGATTTGATATCCGAAGTATTGATATCGGGTCTCGTCACATGGTTGGCGTGGTTCGTATCAGGACCTGATCGAAAAACCTTATTTAAGTGACCGCTGATCGCGATATAGAACGAGTGGATCGCGATCTGGCCTTTGCGTCAACTTCAAGCACTATTTTGGCCATTTTTCAGTTCGAATTTGATAAATATGCATTTCACAAAAGTTGTATCCCTTGCAGTTGGCTTTCTAACTGCGCATGAATCAACTCAATTAGAGGTCATATGAGAGAGTTATGCGTCAGATACCGAACACTGCCATAGTCCGCTAGAATGCACTTTTGCACGTGTTTGGTTTGGTTCTCGGTTTCGCTTTCAAAACCGTTTTGAATCGGCAAAAATAGCTTCTCTTTACCTAAAATAGAAATAAAACAAGAAACACATAATATGTACGAATAAAGCCGAAAACTCGGACGAACGAAGACCAAAACTCGAATATTCGATAAGTAAAAGTCGTGCAAAACGAACACTTATCACACATCCGCTCGATTGTCTTGTAAAGTCCATTTTTTATCTCATAATCTGCTTTGAAATCAAGACAATAATGAAAGCTACACCTACACATATTTATAACTCAAAATGTATAATCACTAAACTCGGCTAACAAACAATTGGTATAAAAATAGTTGTAAGAAATAAATAAATAAAATAACAGAATTGAGCAAGTAAAATGTAATGTCACCATTGCTTTATTTGTTCCAAATAAGAAGGGGTCTATGCAATTGTAAATTCAATCTCAGATCAATAATTTTCCAAATAGGCCAGTATCTTTTTTAGCATCTTTAAAAAAATTCTTTATTTGTTATTTTGCATGACCCATTGCTTCATAAATATATCCCATAGCAGGTTTGGAATCACCATCTACAAGCCTTAACACTTTTACTAATTGAAGTATGCACGTCCAGCAGTATTGGATATTTGACTAGAAATTCTTGTCAGCTAAAATTATCTCACCAATAGCCCGTCCATCTGCTTTCTTTGCATATGAACTTTTTTGCAAGATTCCAGATCCAAACATTGCCATAAGTGCAATCTTTAATTCAAGCAAACTTCTCAAAGTTAAATACGATGTTGCAAATCTTGTAATAGCATGTCTTGTTAACTCGCTGGTCCGTGTGAATTCCCTCATTAAGTTCAAAACCCAAGAATACCTAAACATAAAATAGTAAAAGTTAAAAGGATATGAAATGATCATATAAGTTACACATTAAGTATATAACTAAAAAAGCAAATAAAAAGAAAAACAATTACCTGTAGATGACACTATAATCTTCCTTGCCTTGGCCATGGTGTCTCTGTGTATAGGCATATTTCTAATATCCTTTAGAATGAGATTCATACAATGTGCAGCACAAGGATTCCAAATTTTTTTATTCTTGATCCCATTAATACCTGTTTGGCTTGTACATAAGTTGTTGCGCTGTTAGTAACAACTTGAACAATAATGTTCAGCCCAATTTGCACAATAAAATTGTCAATAAGTTTAAATAGTTCAATAGCATTCTTAAACATATCAGAAGTGTAAATACTTTCTAAAAACGCGGTTTCTTTTGAACTATTAACTAAGAAATTCGTGATAGAGCGATTCCTGTTATTTGTCCATCCATCCGACATACGAGTACACTCTGTCGTTCTCCACTCTTTTTTTTTACCTTTCGATAATTTCTTGGGTTTACACAACTTTCTTTTCCAAAAAAATACCCTGACCTCACGAAAGAAAAGAGGTATTAACCCCTTTCCATATTTTGCAATTGAGTGCAATATAGACTTAAAAAATGGATCCTTCACCAAATTAAAAGGTAGACAATTTAAGACATCTACACAGAGGCGGATTTAGGGGGTGGGGATATATACCATGGACCACCTTAGTTCCTAAAAACATGTTTGGTGTAGTGGTAAAGATGTCTTAATATCTTTCAATGCTCATGGATTCGACTCCTATAGGATTCACAAATTACTAATTTCAATTTTTATTTCAGCCTCTCTTCCCTGGTTTATTTTTTTTTTCAGTCTCTCTCCCTTTTTTCTGCCTCAATTAATTTTTTTTCAACCCCTCCCCTAAAACGCAGAAAATTTTAGTTTATATATTTTGCCTCAATTTTTGTTTTCAGCCCCTCTCCCCCAATGTTTTTTTCAGTCTTCTCCATTTTTCTGCCCCAATTATTTTTTTTTCAACTCCTCTCTCAAGAAACGCAGAAAATTTCAGTTTAATTTTTTTTTTTTTGCCTCAATAATTTTGTTTGAACCATTATCCCCAAAAAGGAGCATCTCCCAAATCAGAACCCTAAATCTCTTTATTTCAAGCCATGAGTAATAGGAGAATGTATTTACGCTTGAACTTGAAATAAATTTTCAATATGAGTTGTAATTGAAACATTGGTACATTTTTACTATTTAATACTCGAATATTTGATTATTATTTTTTCTATGCGGCATAGCCTAGATTTTCATCCTGGATCCGCCACAGTATCTACATATATCTCTACACACGAACTCTCTATCCTAGGTATTCAAAGTAGTCTCGAGCCCGTCTCTTTTCTAGGATTTTGAAAAAACTTGACCATTTATTTTTTTCCTTTTCTAGAAATTTCAACATCATCTTCGACAAAATTTTCATCATCCCCATAATATTCTTTCTTTTTTTTAGCTTTCCAGATAATTTAAAAATTAATTCCGCACTTCTTCAAAACATTTTGGACATGGTTCAACATCTTTTCCAGCTAAATGATGTTTTATGTAGGGTAAAACGACCGAAACGCCCTCGGAGACGAAATTCTCGCACGAACGCGTGGACTTTGCGCCTTGTTTGGCGGTTTTGATGGATAAATCGTCGTAGTTCCACAAGTAAACGCGCGAGTCTTCCCCAACCGACACGATGTGGTTTCCGCTTGAAGTGAATGAAGCCGATGTTTGACTACCGGATTTTGCCGGACCTGTTACGATTGAAAGTAACCATTTTTCTTAGAATGACACACATACAAACTGAAATAAAATTATATATATCTATACATATATATATATATATATATATATATATATATATATATATATATATATATATATATATATATGTATGATCAGAAGAAGCTATCTTTTTTCAATTTTCTTACCTTTGTACTTGCGGACAACCTCGAGCCTGTCGAGAATACGGATTTTGGAGTCCTCTGATGTGATCATTACTCTTTGGGAGTCGTTTTTCAGAAACTGAGCAATAAGAAATCGCACGTAAATATAACTGAAAAATTAAGGAAACTAATACAAAGAAAAAAAAAAGGAAATTTGGGAGTAATAATATTTATAATTAATACCTGAGTGCCAGTAATTCTGTTGCCAGATGATTTTCTCCTGCCGTTCATATTAATCTCTGCATTTAAATGGAGCTCATCACCCGTAGATTCGTAGAAACGGCATGTACCGGAAACAGAACCAACAACGAAACCCTGTAATGACGAAACAAATCGAAAATTGTTACTAAAAAAAATTAGCAATTAGACTTTGATTTTAACATCAATATAAGCGGGCCCCAAGCTATACCTTTCCGTTTGGTTGATAGCACACAGCTGTGACAATGTCTCGTGCATGAGCCCAATCTTCGACTCTCTTCTTGTGAATTCCCCAAACTCGAACTTTCCCGTCAATCGATCCGCTAATGAAGTGGTTTTCATCGACCGGATTGAATTGAACACATGTAACTGAACAAATAGCAAACCAATTAATTTCGTTTCGCTTACACGTTTTCACATTTGACTATTAAAAAAATATCGAAAAAAAAATAAAAAGGAAAAAAAAAATGTCTGGTAATTTACCATAGTTGCTGTGATCGAAAACTCCGAGACATTTGTCAGAGCCGGCACGCCACAAACGAACAGTTTTATCCATCGAAGATGATAGAAGATGCTGCAAACACAAAAGAATATTCTTTAGATAATAATTCCATAATTAATACAAAAAATATTTAAGTAGCAAAATCGGAAAATCGAACTTACATTAGATGTGGACCAAGCAAGGTCTAGAACATCACTCGTATGACCTTTGAACGTATGCATAGGCTCTTGTTCGATGTGGAAAATCTTTTCCGGAATAATAACCGACGACGGATGAATCGATTTTTTCTTTTCGATAAATTGGCCACGGCCGTAACTGCAGTTACCGGCCTGACAAGTGACATCAACCGTGGTTACTCGATACACGCAAACAACACCATCTTCACCTCCACTAGCCAAATATTTTCCATCGGGGCTAAACTTCATCGACCGAATCAAGCCGTTGTGGGCTTTGATTTCTTGCTCGAAATAGACAGCTGTGCACTCGGTACACCTCTTCCGACTCGGCTCCATTCTAATTCGGGCCCGTAAATTCGATTTATCCGATACATTTGCGGTTTTGATTTTCTTGGCAAAATATCTCAACCATCTCGTGGCTTTCGACTTTTTCTCGTAATCAACGGCCGGGATTTCTCGCTCGATTTGGTTGATTTTGATTTCTCGCTCGACTTGATCGGTTACATGTATTTGATTTTGATCTACCTCATCATCATCCTCATTATCGTCATCATCGACATCGAGGGTAATATCGTCCAACCAATCGTGGTCGGAATAATCGACGGAGCAATTCGCTTCGCTGTTCGACTTCCGTCTTTCCGACATCAAACTGCAATCACTATCTACGACGGCACAAGAAGATTCCGACTCAACGAAACCCATCCTCGACAGAAAGCTATCCCTTCTCTCTCTAACGCTCTGCGGCTCTCTCGACCAAATATCGTAGTCCAACGACGAAGATGACATCATCATCAAACTGTGATCTGAGGCATCAAAGAAAATATCTTCTCCCTCAGTCAACATTTTCTTGAAATTTCATTAAAACCACTACTACCACTAATAATAATAATAATCAAAATTTCATTAAACCACACTATATAAAAAACGAGAACCCAAAATTAAATTCCCAAATTCACGGACCGGGTTTGACTCACTAAAACCATGCAAAAAACAGGACCAACCCACAGTAATTACAACAAAATGGTATGGTGGTTGTAATAACAATACAAAAACGAGTGGAGAAACAAAGAAAACTGTGTAGTAATAATAATAATAAGATAAATACCTTGAATTTCTTGCAAAGCAATGAGAAGGAAATCCCAACAGAATCGCCGACCCACCCTTCGAATATGGCCTCTTTTGTAATAACAACTAAATAACTCAGCACCAAATTCTCTGCACTTTGACTTGAGAAATGGGGTTTTGGTTTGCAGATGAAGTAAAAGGGTATAAAAATAACCCGACCTTTGGTTATAAATAAGAAAGAAACCAATACTTTGAATCTTCGGACAATAAACAAATCCCAACAATTCCCCCCCACTTATTACTTTTTTTTTAATTAATTAATCAAAAAATAGGCCTTGAGATCTGTGAGTTTTGTTGTGGAGATGGGGTTTTCTTTTCTTTTCTTTTCTTTTTTTCTTTTCTTTCTTCTTTTTTCTGTTTTGGCAGCACACGAGCGGCGCAGCGCAGAAATGTATATGTGTATGTATGTATGTATATGTAATTAAGCTGCTAATGGTAGGGGCTCACTTTTTATTATTTTCTTCCTCAAAATGGCACCACCACCATTAACAAAGTCAATTTTTTCCTCACAGAGTCCAATGCTTCCCCTCAACTTGAGCAACAACCTGTTAAAATTTAAACACATACATTGAAAACTGGAGTTATACATAAATTAATTAATTATAAAGTAAAGGTTAACTAATCCGAAATTAAATCCAGATTTGGACCAACCATGCATATATAATATAGTATAATATAGTATATAAGAATAATGAAATGCAATTACAGAGAAGCTTTTTTAACTTTTGGCATTTGTTATGTAAATAATTAATGGCTGGTAATTAGTGTTGGCTATATTCTAAGCATGCAAAGGCCATCATAATATATAATTGAGATTTGAGTGTATATCTAAAAATCATTCATTGGGATTTTTTTTTTGTTTTTTTTATTTGGAAGATATGAAATTATTGAGGGGGGTGGGGGTGGGGGGTGGGGGGTGGTTGGGTCGGACAGATGCATTACAGGCTGTTGCATTTGTTGTGTGTTTATTTATATGGAAACAAAGCTATGGAATATAAAGTTTTCAGGCTAATTGCCTTAGCCTGCTAATTGTTTTTTTGTCTAGTGTATGTATGTGTAGCTGTGTTACCTATGACTTACCTAGACTAGGTTTAGAAGAAAGAAATAAAAAACATAAATTGAGACAGCGATTACTCAGGTTTTACAATTTTTTTATTTTATTTATTAGAGGGAAATTTATTTAAAAATTGAGAGAATTACTTTTTAGGTAATGTTTGGTTATGTTTTCATTTCAATTTTACTATTTTCTCAAAAAGAATTAGTGTTTTTTTAAGTTTTTTTTAAACAAAATCTCAAATCAATTTTTAAAGCTACTCTCTTATTTAGATATGATTTGACTGCTACAGTAAAAATATTTAACTATTGTAGTAAAATAAAAATAATAAAAATAGTTTTTTTTTTTCAAAATTTTCTTTTAAAATACATTCTCTTACAACTTTAAACATGATTTAACTGGTATGATGTATTTTGTTTAATTTCAAATCATAAACAAATGTTGATTTTTTTTTTTAACTATTCTCACAAAACATAATTTTTTTTAAATAAAATGAAAATAACTTCCAAGCTATTCAAATTACAAGGTCTAGTTATAAATAAATCTAGTCATGATTTATTTATAATAAAATATGGTATTATAATTTATATATAATTGTATGACACATAAATAATATACATTGGTGTGTGTAACTTTTGTATAGAGATGGTAGTGCATTGACTTTAAACAATCCAATGGAAAAGGGAAAAGTAGGTTACAATTTTTCCAATAGGAATCATATCTACACATTAATTTCTTTTTTAGCCTTTTTAGCTTAGCAGGAAATTTTAATGAACATACAAAAACACATATCAGGTGTGCATATTTATATCAATTTATAATGCACATTAATTTATTTCATATGGAGAATATGAGCTACTAAAAAAAATATTTATTTTACATTTATCATACATCCATACCATTAATATATTAAATACAGTAAAATTTCAATAAATTAATATATTCATACTATTAATATATCAAATAAGTATGCAATGTAATTCCAAAATCATAATGAATTATCCAAAGTGATCATTACATTATTTTAATAAATCAGTTAAATTTTTATACCTTAGGAATAAATAGAAAATTAAACACAATAATTAATAAATAAATAAATAAATCAGTGAAATAGTATTTATAGAGTAGAAAATAAATAAAAATAATTAATTAATTTGAGCAAAAGGTATAAATAGGGGAAAGTAGGGGAAAGGAGAGACAAAGATAAGATGGATCCTAGTAATCTTCAAAAGAGGGAACATGACATGACTGTGTGGCCTGGATCATTAAATCGAAGCTTCTTTTTGTTCTTTCCCTTTTTATTTATTTTTTTATTTTTTCTTAATTTCCTTTTTTTCTCTTAATTTTTTTTAATTTCCTTTTTAATCTTCTGTAGCACACCCCTAATTATGAATGATAATACGGGGCAATGTTTGGATTCGTTTTTCGGGTTATTTCAATTTTACTTTGAGGTCAAAAGAAATTACTTTGGGTAAATATTATCCCAAATTATTTGTAATTTTAGATTTACAATAAAATATTAATTGCATTTTTATCAATTTTTTCATTTATCACTGTTAATTAGTTAATTAAAAAATTATTAACGATAAGGGTATTTTAGCATTTACTATGTTATTTTTTGGTATAATCTATGAATATTCATTGACTATATTAATCTACGCATCACCACCCAAAACGACATATAATATGAGACGAATGAAGTAATGTTTTTTTTAATGTCTTGAGATGAGATAAAATACAAAGTTCCAGTTAAAAAACATGTTTAACTGTGTTGAAAAAAAATGTATTTTGAAAGAATAATTTGAAAATTAAAATAATATTAGTTTATTTTTTAGTAAATACATTTTTTACAATAGGAGTATAAACTTGGGATTTTAATTTTTTTTTTTTAAATCGGTTTTGAAAACGTGTATCTAAAAGACTAAAACACCCCGACATATTATTTGTAACCAATCTCGACCCATTTAAATTAAATTTTATGATTACTCTCACGGTTCAAATACCCATAAAAAAATATTTTAAAAAAGTTATAAACGGAGTATTTCTTGTTTAACAACAATTACTTCTAATTATGCAATATTTACTATTTGTCAAATAATTCCTTGTTTCATAAGTAATAATTACCAAAAAATGAATTTTCTAAATGCTTCCAGAAGAAAAGAAGAGAATATTGTTTAATTAAAGCACGACTATTAATGTAGGACACTCTGTAAAGCACGTGTTAGGTTTAACTAAACCCATAAATTGAAGTACTAATTAATTAAATTAGTCTAATTAATTAATTAAGAAGAAGGAATTAATGTAACAATGTTTGGTTATTTATTAGTTTCTGATTCCACAAAGGACGTACGAATTACCAAATCTAGTATCTTCTGATTCCTTAACGCATCTTTGGCAAATGCTAATTACTCATTAAACACATTTATTTATGTAGCCCATTTATTTAAATAATTGGTTATTTCCCAATAGTTACAACATCAAAAAATATTACTCCATGTTAGTTAAACTTTAGAATATATATTTCAAAGAATATATAATATATGAATGCAAATATATAATTTAATGTTGTCTTGACATAATCTAATTTCATGAATTTGGAAAAGTATATAATAATAAGATTTAAAAAAATGATTTAATTTTAATTTTTTTTTCATCATCTATGGATAACCATAATTAGATTTTTTATTTTAAAAATCACAATGAAAGCAAATACGTATGCTCTGATTGATGGTCCAAATACAAATTGCCAATTAAATGGATAACATTATATATACACACAGATATAAAATATATACTATATATTTTATATTTATAATTAAAGCAAATCGAAATCTGGTCCTACAATAATATGTCACGCGTGTCGTCACCATATTCCAATTATTAATTTGTTGTGTATTTTGTCATGTATGTCATCTCCATTTTATTTTATTTTCACATTAATTATACGTTTGTTTATTTTTTTGTGTGTGTCTCAAATTAAATTCCCCGCAACAACCGAACCACTTAAATATTACTAATTTACTACTCCCTCTGTCCCATATTATATGTCTTTTTAGTTTTTAGAGAGTTTTTCTTGTCCCAAATTATTTGTCATTTTAGATTTTCAATGCATCATTAATTGCACTATTTTCAATTTTACCCTTTATAACTCCTAATTAGTTAGTTGTAAAACAATTAATATCAAGGATATATTAGTATTTTCCTATGCTTTTTATTATAATCTATACACATTTATTGATTTTCTTAATATGTGTGAAACAACCCAAAACGTCATTTAAATTGGGACGGAGGGAGTATATGTTTTCATTTAATAATAATTTTTTTGCCACCGAAGAAATTAAAAAAATAATAATATTAATATTAAAACCAATCGCGGCATTTACATATAAGTGGACAAACATGTGCACTATCACTATATCTATTTTTCTATTGCCTTTCCGAAAACTACTATAACAAATGAAGATGGACATGTACGAAAGGGGTTTTTTGGCTGAGCTTATTTTAAATAACTGATAAGTTTTTACGTTTGATAAGATATTTTAAAAGTTGATAAGCTGTTACATTTTATTTTTAGGATTAATTTTTAGAATATTTGGATAATAAGGTTATTTCCTATTTACTCATTATAAGATCTTAAATAAAAAGGTGAGGTAGAGTCGTAGATGTACTTATTCATAAAGATCTTGTTTGCTCTCGAACATCTTATTTTTTTTTTTAAATAAGTTTTTTTAAAAAAAAATTACCAAACACTTTGGAAGAGCTTATAAGCTCTAAATCATCTTATAAGCTCCTTTTAACATCTTATAAGCTTAGCCAAACACCCTCTAAATTTGCGGTGTAGAAACATAAATTTAAATGTTGTTGAATAAAGCATCTCTAATAAAGCATCTCTCTGTCTCTCTTGCTCTCTCTTGTGCTTATTGCACAAAAACGTAATTTACGCAGTGCAGTTCGAGTGGTTGATGGTTTTCTTGTATATGTATCCAACACTTGGATAAATATAAGGTTTAATTAGATACTTGTATAATAATAGGAAAAAATGAATTACATTAAATAAGAGAATAAACACTTCTTGATGCTTGTGGGACTTATCAAGAATTGCTTAAATAGTTACCTCATATATTAATTCAAAAATTAATATGTTATGCATTAATACGTATATATATATATATTCTATGCACACACACACATTACGTAAAGGTAATAATTCCACTTGAGAAAAAAAGAAAGATAGATGCATCATGAATACAATTAGCAAATTAATAAGGTGCTTAACTAGAACTAATTATAAACTAACCTGCAGCTGAAGAACTCTAATTAGCCTTTGATTAATCTTTGAGTAAACAGTAGACACATGCACTTGTAGTTAGAGATAAGAAAAGAATATGCTAATGCTCTTAGGCTCATATCAATACACGTATATATATATATATATATATATATATATATTGTATATATATAGAGAGAGAGAGAGAAAAATAATTAAGCAGCCACCTAAGTATGTAATTGTTTTGAACAGCATATCTCCGCTGAATCCATCCTCGATTTGCCCGTAATTAATCTTCATTTAATCCAAAAAGG